GTGGCCTGCCTTGCAAGCGCAAGGACCCGAATTCAATCCCCAGTACCAAACAAAACAAAAAAACAAAAACAATGAGATAAAAATTACACTGGATATGATAAAAGGATGGTTAGAAATTACAAAGAAAATAGCCGGGCGTGGTGGCGCACGCCTATAAATCCCAGCACTGGGGAAGCTGAGGCAGGAGGATAGCTTTGAATTCGAGACCAGCCTGGGCTACATAGTGAGTTCCAGGTCAGTCTCAACTACATAGTGAGACCTGTCTTAAAAAAAGAAAAGAAGTTACAAAGAAAAGACTAGTGAGCTTGAAAACAACAAACAGTAAAGTATAGCACAGAGGAAAAAAACGGACTTTGAAGAAATTTTTTAAGTGAGCAATGGGGGAACCTTCAAACATCCTCACATATAGGTAACTACAGTCCACAAAAAAGGGGAGCACATAAAAGATGCTTTGAGAATATAACTGTAAAAAGCTTCCTGAGCATAATGAAAACTATAAACTCAAAGATTCAAGACATCAACAAACTCCAAGCATAAGAAACATGAATTACACCAAAGCATAATATAATGAAACTGATCAAAACCAATGGTACAATACTAAAAGAGGCCTGATTAAAAGACACATTACGGGGCTGGGGATTTAGCTCAGTGGCACCCGTGCCTGCCTGGCAAGTACAAGGTCCTGAATTCAATCCCCTGTTTCAAAAAACAAACAAAACGACACATTACATATAGGAACAAAGATGATAATGGTACCAGATTCCTCATGAGACATAACACAACAGAGAAGACTGGCATATCTGTGAAGTACTGGGGGAGTAGGGAGGGTTAATTCTTCACCATGCAAAAATCTTTCAAATATGAAGGTAAAATAAAGGCAATTCAGAAATATAAGCCAAAATAAATCATCACCAGCATACCTGCAATGCAACAAATGCTAAACAATATCTTTCATAACAAAAAAATATGGTATCAGATAAAATCCTATCACTATGCAAAGGAATAAAGAACACAGAAGTGCGAATTTCTTAATCAATAGCAACAGCACCAAAATCCGGAAGGAAAAAAAATCTAAGTATGCTTTTATTACAGATAAAACTATGTATCACTTGAAAGTAGACTGAGGTAAGTGAAAGATATTACACAAACTGAAACAACCATGAAAATAGCAATGAGTTAATGGTAATAATCTAATAAAGTATATAAAATGAAATCATAAAAAAAAACCTCAATGTAAAAGAATGCAGGAAAATGAAAACGAAATGGACACAACCAGAAAACAAATAGGAAGAACTTAATCACACTACATGTACATGGCTAAATTCCCCAAAAAAGACAGAACTGTCATTTTAGATTAAAAACAAATCTATTATTTGCACGAAATGCATGTTTAATACAAAGATGCAAGTGGGTTAAAGTATTAGAATTAAAAAAAAAATTTAAGTTTATGCCCATCAAGAAAAATATCTACATAGGTAAATGGGTACATTTTGAGAATATACTCCTAAGTGAAATAAATAAGTCACACATATGCAAATACCAAATAGTTTCTCTGGTGTGAAAAACTAAAATAGTACTCAAGATCATAACGGGACAATTAGCAACATGAAATAGGAAGAAAAGGACCAAAGGTGTAGAGACAGTGAGAAGGATAGGGGCAGGGGAATAAGGGAAAAGGAAAAAAATATGAGAAAATGTAAAAATGGAATAAAGTGTTTGAAGGTGGGGAGGGGAGGAGGGGGTGAG